CTGGTTTTTGAGTTTCAACCTCAAGATAAATTGTGAAATTGATTTTTACGAGACAATATTCATTCAATTTAAGTTTTGGTTTATCAGGATTCTTGTACTTTTCCCAATTAGTCAAAACTTCAAAATCTTTGAATTTTTCTTGCCAGTTTGAATCCATTTATTCAAGAATGTCGAAGGAATTAAAAATACCTTCCTTTATATTTATACTTAAAGTTTATTTATTTAATTATTTAATTAATACAAATAAATATTTCGAAAATATTGACAATTATTACACCTAAAGAACCATTTTTTTTTATCTGTTGACCTTCTGAAATAAATTTGTTTTTGTTCTTCAGAACATTTACACAATTCTGAATATTTAAAACCTGAACGATCATATTTAGATGTAATATATAAACAACCTAAATTAATGATAAAATCTGTGATAAAAATATTATCAAATTTGTTTCCGAATAAATTTAATATAATAGTTTTCCAAAAACTAAACTCTGGTTTTTCTTTCTTTCTGACTAAAATGCTCACACCAGTATAATGATTATGTTTATATTTAAACAAATTAAATAATAGCATGGTTGAATCAAGAGCAAAATTCAACAGATTCTTTTCGAAAAGTGTTTTGAATCGATCAAGAAGGATAGTTTCGAAAAATAATTTAAAGGGTTTATTAATCAATCTCATTTTATCACAAATCTGTTTTGGATGTTGCTTTGAAGTAATATTATGTTTATGGAATGTTATTTTTTCAATAACTTCATCAGCTAATGTTCGAAGAGTTTCAAACAATATTTCAGGTGGTAAGAACATATTGTTTTTCGTTTGAGTTTTTCTTTTTCAAATTGTTCTTTCTAAATATTTATATTTTATTTTTTTTAATTTACAATTCTTTTACGGTATTAATTCTAAATCAGAATTTTACGGATTTGGATAAATGAATTTACAAATCAGATTTTTACTGATTTGGTTAAATTATATTAATCAGATTTTGTGTTTCGAATACTTTGAAATTGACCAATCGT